CAACCAACTCAAATCGATTCCGATCGACTCAGACAGACTCAGAATGACTCAGACAGACTCAGATAGACTCAAACCGACTCAGGCAGACTCAGACTGACTCGACCGACTGAAACCGATTCAGATCGACTCAGACCGACTCAAACTGACTCAGACAGACTCAACCGACTCAAGTCGATTCCAATCGACTCCGACAGACTCGGAACGACTCAGACAGACTCAGACAGACTCAAACTGACTCGACCGACTTAAACCGATTCAGATCGACTCAGACCGACTCAGGTAGACTCAGAAGGACTTAAACTGACTCAGACCGACTCAACCGACTCAAATCGATTCCGATCGACTCAGACAGACTCAGGCGGACTCAGGCAGACTCAAACCGACTCAGGCAGACTCAAACTGACTCGACCGACTCAAACCGATTCAGATCGACTCAGACCGACTCAGACAGACTCAGAACGACTCTCAAACTGACTCAGACCCAATCAACCGACTCAAGTCGATTCCGATCGACTCAGACAGACTCACAGACTGTCTGAGTCGTTCTGAGCCTGTCTGAGTCGATCGGAATCGATTTGAGTCGGTCTGAGCCGATCGGAATCGGTCGAGTCTGCCTGAGTCGGTTTGAGTCTGTTTGAGTCTGCCTGAGTCTGTCTGAGTCGTTCTGAGTCTGTCTGAGTCGATCGGAATCGATTTGAGTCGGTCTGAGCCGATCGGAATCGGTCGAGTCTGCCTGAGTCGGTTTGAGTCTGTTTGAGTCTGCCTGAGTCTGCCTGAGTCGTTCTGAGTCTGTCTGACAGGTTACCAGGATGGTTCTAGGCGTATTTCGCTTTGGTCGAGTTGGGCTGCCAAACTTGGCGGTTTCGCAAAAGCGTAGCCCACAATTAGCCGCACCCGCCTAACTCCCGGGGGCGCTAACCCGTGCTGCCATCTATCGGGAGTTTCAGTACCTAACTACCGACGCGTCATGAACGGCGAACGCGCCGGGGACTGGGGTAGTCTCAGGCCTTTGCAGCCTGTTTGAACTGCTGCCGGCGGGGAAAACAGGAATATTCAATGGGGACGTGCCAGTCTTGTTGATTCAAAACGTGGAATCCTCATGAATTGGAACGCACAGGCTCTACGCACGCTCACAGGCTAACGTGTGGGGTCGTTTCCGCTTCCCGAGAGCCGCTAGACCGATTGCGCTAGAATTTGGTACACCATCAAGGAACGGCTAGTAGCGTGGCCCGCGCAAGGCCGTTGGGGTCCAGCTTGCACGTGGGCACGTGGAGAAGGCCGATTTCAGACCTTCAGAGCGGCTGGAACGATTGAGCCCAAAGTAGGTGAACCTTCTACGCCTCAAGGAAGGCTGGGCCAACTACGCTCAAAGTTGATACGCCTTTCAAGGATGGCTAGACGGGTGACCCGTTCAAGTCAACAAGAGGTCATGCATCGTACTTTCGTGCGTGTAGATAGGGATCACTGTCTCGGTCACTCTTGTCGCCCCAAAAGTCGTCTACTCGTCTTGCTGGTAGGAAGGTATGTATGTCGTCATCTGCAGGGTGCACGCTGCACAGCTAGGCGTGACCTTTTAACTGAACTGAATGAATCAACGTTGATTGCACATAATTGATTTGCCCACTTAAAGTGCATGACCATTGAACAATGCCATTCGCCTATCAATTGATAAATGTCTCAACAACCGGTACATCCAGAGCAGCCCATTTTATATTGAAAACGGTTTGCAGAGCTCTGCAGGAAAAGACACATACCAATTGGGCGTGTCCTCTGCCCGGGTATAAAGGTGCACCGAGTCATCAGATGGACACCACTTGTTCAATCCACGGCGGCACTGCTTCAGTCTGCACTCCTACACTACATCATGATGCGGATTGTGGTAAGTTGTCTTCAAAGTAGCCACTACTAAACGACCTTTTACGGCCATTATTTTTTCCGTATCGTAGCTTCAAAATGAAGCTTCTGTTCAATGACTGAGAGCATCCATGTTCATTGTTCATTGCTTATTCATTCCTGTCATTTTGACGTCTCCCGATGTCTAACTACCTCCGCGCCACCGGTATCGCTGACGCCACCCGTCGCTCGGCAGCTCCTGCTGACGGCGGCTGTTCTGGGAGCCGCCGCCGACCATCCGCCGCCCGCCGTGTCGTCCTACCAGGCCGGGGCGGCCGTCAGTGCGGCACCACAGCCCGTCCAGGACACCTACGAGGTGGCTGAGGCCAAGAGGGCCTTCCAGCAGGAGTACCAGAAGCTGGCCAGGGAGGCTGAACTGGCCCCCGACACCCACCAGTACACTGAGCAGCCCCAGTACTACCAGCAGCAGCCCCAGTACTACCAGCAGCAGCCCCGTCCCGCCTACACCCTCGGCCAGGCCCCACAGCCCGTCCAGGACACCTACGAGGTGGCTAAGGCCAAGAGGGCCTTCCAGCAGGAGTACCAGAAGCTGGCCAGGGAGGCTGAACTGGCCCCCGACACCCACCAGTACACTGCGCAGCCCCAGTACTACCAGCAGCAGCCCCGTCCCGCCTACACCCTCGGCCAGGCCCCACAGCCCGTCCAGGACACCTACGAGGTGGCTGAGGCCAAGAGGGCCCTCCAGCAGGAGTACCAGAAGCTGGCCAGGGAGGCTGAACTGGCCCCCGACACCCATCAGTACACTGAGCAGCCCCAGTACCACCAGCAGCAGCCCCAGTACTACCAGCAGCAGCCCCGTCCCGCCTACACCCCCGGCCAGGCCCCACAGCCCGTCCAGGACACCTACGAGGTGGCTCAGGCCAAGAGGGCCTTTCAGATGGAGTTCGACCGGCGTGCTGCCCTGGCCCAGTCTTCCTCGTACAACTGAATGCCTCCTAGTTAGGGAGGATGGGTCGGTACTGCGACTCATGAACTATCCGTATGCTATGAAGCGCAAATAAACGCAGTTATTGAAGCTCTGCATTTTGTTTTTGCACTGCGGTTTACTTCCAAAAATAATATGTTGTATGTATGCAATGTGTCGTTGAGAGGCAATGGCATACAAATTTGTCAACAAAATGATGTTATTTCTTCGAGATCCTGACAAGGTGCCGATAAGGATATGCACTATGTAGTATGCACGCTACACATTACGCAATGAATGTTACGTAGTTCGATAAGAACACCTGACTAGGTCACTTTTCTGTGCCCATTTTCGAAGCAAATTAACAGTCCACTGCACTGGCCGGCAGCGAAAAGTGCGGAAAACACCCACAGAGTGTGAAAGTGACCCGGCAGAGCGCGTACCAGCGTCACGGCGGCCGGGTGACTCACGGAAGTCACCTACATGTAGTAACTTCATTTTTCAACACGGCTTGTCACTATATTCGATAGCAATTGACAACATAATTTTCCCGTCCAAGTCCCATTATAGCCCACTTGGGACCACATAAACATTTGTGCTGCACAACTCTGTAACGTTACAGAGTTGTGTACACAACAAGGGATCATGTTTGGAGACTTATATGTGCAGAAAAATACATGATGAGATATGCCAAAAACGGAGGGTTTTTTTTTGCTTCAACCGTTTTAGGTATTAGGTAATGAAAAACTGGAACAGGGGGCCGGGAAAAAGAAGTAGGGTTAAACCGGCCCACGCCAAGAAAAGGATTGTTGAAAACCTATTTTGAATTGGTACATGATATCGGACCAGATTAAATACCACAAGAAATATAGCTTTGGTAATAATGGAAATGGTACGAATCTTCCAAGCAATTCATTTCAACATTTCAAAATAAAAATATGTCGGTCAATCTCATTATGCGAGTGGACCGGTCGTTGTTCCGGCTGAGTTTGTTTTTGCGCACCGTGCCCTGTCCACTATCCAGTGCGCGCCCGGCTGACCGCTGGCCGACCCTGCCGCCAGCGGTCACGTGACCGTCTGACGTTACGTCAGCGTTACGTCACGGTGTCCACCGTTGCTCTCCGCGTCACCTGTCGCCCCTGACGCGGGTCTGCAGACCACCTAACCACTCCACGCACGGGATGGCGAAACACCGCCAGCGCCGGCGGCCGGTCTCCTGACTGTCCCAGAGGATGAGATAAGCTGATGCAACCGCTCATAGCGCCAACGTGGCCTTCACGATCAACAATGTGACAAACGGTATCGCTATTTTATACTTATGTGCCCAAATGTACGCCAATAAGAACGGTACGGATAGGTTAAATATGCAGTTACATCTCAAGTTGCGGTTGCAGTGCGTGCGATGCATCGCCTGATTCGGGAGACCGGTCTCTATGTGGCCGGAATCCTGCAGCTCTAGCGACCGGTGTAACGCATGTGATGTAGGTGCACACCGGTTGGATAGGCGGCTGGTCCTCATCTGGCCGGTATTCGGCAGCTCTAGGGCCGGTGTGCTGCACGGGATGCACCGGTCGGTCCGGTCCGCAGCGGCCAGGTGCGGCGGCGCTCCGCGGCGGCCACTACTCGCCGGCCGGCCGCTCCGACCGGACGCCACACGCCGACAGCCTCACCCACCTGCGGCGCGCAGTGGCCGTCCATTCAGCCGGGCCGATAGTCCGATATACCGGCGGCCGACCCATTCAGCCGCACTGCCATATAGGCGCCGCTTCGATCCGGCCGCCGACGCGCTGTTACGTAAGCGACGCGCACCTCGGCGCCGCCGGTTTGGGAGCCCCAGCGCGCGGCGGCCGCCCAGCAGTGCGAGCGAAGGTCGACGGCGGCGCGCGCGCTGTGGCTGTGCTGTCTGCCGGGGCGCCGCGACCGGAGAGGGCCGTGCCAGCCGACGGACCGTGGAGCCGCACCAGCAGCGCTCGCAGCTCAGACTCAGGTGAGGACGCCAGCTCCCCGACACCCCAGGCGGACTGCGGAGGGGCGCGGCGGACGGCCGCGGCCGCAGTCTCCCCGGCATAGCAACCGGCGCTGTGCTGGGTCCAATAAACAGTCACTGGGCCGCATACAGTGTGACTGGGCTGCGGCGGCACTGGGCCGCTGTCCCCACCCCTCAGCAGTGCTGCGGACTCACCAGTGGCTGTCGGTGGGAGTTCCGCGGCGATCCCGCGGACACCGGGTCATCTGTCCGGCCCCGGCGGCGGCCTCCCAGCTGAGCGGGCGCCGGGTGCGGCCCCGGGGCCGGGGGCAGGGCGCCGGGTCCGGCCCCGGGCCCCGGTGGCAGCCTCCCAGCTGAGCGGGCACCGGGGCCGGCCCGGGGCCCGGCTCACCCCGTCCGCCCGGTGGGTGGGGCCCGCCACCGGGCCGATCCTGTACTGCACAGCCTCCGGCCCATCCGTGTGCTCGCTGGCCACCTGCAAATAACGAGAGCCGTCACCAGTTTCATTTAGGACACCTGAGTCTAAAAATGGCGTTCGGAAGTGGAGAACCACAAAGGTTATGCTGTCACTTGGGCTATAATGAAATCTTATTCTGCCATTGCGCGGTGTTATCGTTTTTGGAAGGAAGGATCCTAAACTTGTCTACTGATCACTGGGTGAGGAGCGATTACTGTAAACGGCACTTGTCACCGCGACCCGGTCGTTCTCGTCCAAACACAAGACGACATGAGATAATCAGATAGGCAGTGAACCCGGAGGCTATAGTCTCGGGCTCCCAGCGACAGGCAACTCAATGCGTGCATCGGATAGCAGTGATGGCGATCAAGATCCGCGGTTCGCACCCCTCCAACTCGGAGCTGCCTACTTTGGTCCCATTTCCCACCACAGCCTCTTGTCCTTGATCCTATCGCTTCAATCGGTACTGCGATCCGCTCCCCTCCAACTCGACATTGTGCCTCGCTTCTGCGGCCGTCCAACTGTATACCTATCGTCTATCGACGTCCAACGCTGACTGAGAATCGAGACCGTGAGTGAATCCGCACATTTGTGGACTGGCGGAGTCAAGCCCGTTGTGCGTAGAAAGTGCCTCGCTAATGCCAGTTGCGTGTGATCTGGCAGCAGTCCGTTCACCCCCCCCCCCCCACCCCTCCCTCGGCCCAGACGAGAAGGCGGCCGACGTCACGCGCCACCCCCCGTGATGCGTCGTACGAGCACCGCCCGTACACTGCCAGTGTACCACGGCGCTACGCTAACAGTCTGGGCACCGTGGTACAGCGGTACCATCTGCAGGAAATCTGGGTAGTACGGCGCGAACTGCCCAGAACCCGTACCTACCCACCCCGGCGACGGACGGGGGTGGATGAGGTGGGCGGCCGGTTACGGCACTGATGTCTCAGGGGACGGACAGACGACCGGGGATGAAGAGACGAGTTACCGGGCTGAGTCCTCACTCCTCGGGTGACGGGCGGGGAAGGAATCGGTACGGGGCGAGTCCTCAAGAGTCAAGAGTCCTCAAGGGAATGGGGGACTGAGCTAGGAGGTGGCAGTCAGCGGTTCGCGTTCGGTCCATGCGTCGAATTCAAGGCTCAACCGTTTTGTTCAGCACTGGAGGTAGTTGTGCCAGGACCAGCGCCTCGTGACTGGATCTGTCTGGAAATGCTGGTTCTGTGACAATGACGGATGCTGGCTTCAACGCAGCTATTGAACACGTAATTCGCCGCGCCATCGGTCTGACGTCTGACCTTCCCACTGAGTCAGCACTTCACCAAATGACGACACCGCACGGGAAGATATCCGATACGACACATCCCTATTCGTTGCCCTTTTCCCTATCTCCCTCACGCTCTGCGCCTCAGGCGGTTATTGTTATAGGGCCTTGCCCCAGGCAGACGACACCGCAGCCGTGACTTAAGAACCGCCTGCGCCTACCCATCCCCTACCCCTACCCCAACCCCCACCCACGCCCGCTGCACACACCACACACCGCACTCAGCAGTTTGCGGTGCCCGTGAACTCCCCTAAGGTTTGATATATAACGCTAACGGCTGTTATGCTTAGGCCGGAGCAAGGCCGGAGGCAGTAACAGTACGATTCAGGTTGAAGAACTTGAACTAACTGTTAGAACGAAAGATAGGCATGTGCACGTGCCACTAAACCTTTACTTACCGTTATCCGTGGTTTTGGTTAGAACCTATACAACCTTGGAATAAATAAAAAAACAAAGAGCGAAGCGGGTGAGCAAGTATCAACCGTCGACTTTCCGCTGCGAAGGGCGGAACCGGAAATATCGAAAATAGCGCCCGGTCCTAAGGGCACTTGCTAAAAATGTTTTTTTGCTGCCTCTGTTTGATAAGAAAGTCCTATGGCCTGAGACCCCAAGTTACCAGGCAACCTTACATGTTGCCTAGCAACTAGCTGCCAACAAAACTGTCAGCAGCAGTTTGCCTAGCAACTAGCTTTTTTATTCGTGCTATTGATCGTAATGAACAGTCTCCCTTAATGTAGACAGAAGTGCCGCGAGTGCTTCAAAATAACAGTAGGGCAGGGAGACGAAGAGCACGTTATTAGGCCTATTTTAGTAAATTATTTGAATTTGGCTTTAACTTTTCCTGTAAGCAAAAATCTGAGCATTTTTAGGAAACATCAGGCATCAGTATCAGTGTGTGCATTGTCCCACATATCATGTTTAAATTCCTTAGCTCAGCTGTGCCTATTGCTATTTGTATTGCTTTTTAATTTTTGCTTTCCAATACCACTGCAATTAAAGATATTGGTATAAGACAATAGTTGAAGATAAAAGACATGAAATTGCTGTATAAATGGATTTTTTTATGAATGTATCTTGCTTATCTATCCACAAGCATACGAAAGCACAATCACAGTGAAAGCTCTAGTGTTTTGTATATTGATATCAGCAAAAAAAGGTTAAGTTCAAGTTTCAGAAAATTATTTAATCCAGAATCACAAATTGAATATCTTATCATTATAACGATACTGTCCATGCAAGCGTTTAAATCCTTTAATTCCATACCACTTACCTAGCTGTAATGGTAATCTTGGGTATTTGTAGGTACAATGATTCTTCATATTTTGACCATGTCAAGATAATGAATTGTGGGAGTTTGAATCATATGCAGTTTCAGCTTAATAGTATTCAGTGTAACTTCGTAGTATTTGTGAGCCTGCATTTGTTTTTATAAATGTAGGTAGGTATTTTCAAAGTTCTCACAAGGTTTGTACTTTGCCATGCCCCCTTTTTTGGCTATAGTGTTTGTTAGCATGTTATGTTTGATGTTGCAGGCATGGCTGATGCAGAGAGCCAGCCAGTGATGGAGCAGGCTGATGTCGCAGCAGAGGCTGCTGCCGAGTCCATGTTCTCTACACTGGACCTGATTGTGCTGGCACTTCTGGGCCTGGCAGCAGTGTACTATGTCATCCTTCGCAACAAAAGGAAGGAAGAAGAGCTGGCACAGATGCAGAGCTTCACCATAACGTAAGTGGCATGGTTGATTTGACCCTTTCGGTTGTCATTTGTTCATCTTATATTACGTTCTGCTTATTTACTGCATCTGAGTCAGGTTTTGAATGGTTTGGAGTTTAAGGTTGAGTGCTGTTGCTGTTTGAACTTTAAGTCGGCCTTGCTGCTTATTTCATTTTTTCATATAAATGGTTGGTTATTTTCACATTTTATTTTTGTAAGTGGCGAGGTCCAGACGTGCTGATCTGACAGGTCTCGTGAAGGGAGTGGTCTGAGGGCCCTGCTGGCCCAGTGGCGGGTCGTCCTGCCGTTCCCGGTCGCTGGGTCCTGGCTCCTCCCCACACCCCGTGACGGCCGTTACCGGGCGCGGGACGTGCTCAGTCGGAGTGACGTGCTCCTGCCAGACTGGCGGCACGAGCCTGTCGTAAAGCCGCCGCCAGCCGCGGGGCTGCCCTGTCGGACCCCACTCGGGGTCGGAACGCCGGCGGGGACGGTACGGCGCACCGGGTCCCCACCAGCCCGGCCCACCGCCGCGTCACACGTCACTCCGTATCCCTCAGGACGTCACGTCACGTCCCTGTGACCCCGCTCCGCCCGCAGGTCGAGCGCGATGCCGATGTCCGTGTCGGACGACTCGTTCATCGACAAGATGAAGTCGTCGGGGAAGAACGTGCTGGTGGTGTACGGCAGCCAGACGGGCACCGCCGAGGAGTTCAGCACGCGCATCTCCAAGGAGTGCCGCCGATACGGTGAGTGACCGGGTCCGAGTGTCGTTCTGTCGGACCGTGAACGGACTGCGTCTGGACTGGGGTGGCTGGTAACGCTGTCAGTAGGTATGGAAGTGGAACTGGGGTAGCTGGTGGCGGGTAACGCGGGCTGTACGGTACTCGAGTACACGGCTCGTCGGAAGCCGGAAGGTCATTTCATGCACAAAAGAAATGAACTAACCATTCGAAAGCTGACGGCGAGCTGATTCCAAAAATGCAGTTTTTATCGAAATCGTTCGATGGCCTTTTTCAAAAATTGCGTATTTGTAAAAACAACTGTCAGAGGCTTTACCCAAGATTACTTAACTAATACCGGGTGTACCGGCCTCAGCGGGGCTGGAGTGGGGGTAGCGCGCGGTGGGCAGGGTAACTTTTGACCGGTCGTGCGGCCGAACAGCTGTCGCTAGTACAGTCTCTGACAGTGAAACCCCGCTAACTTTCCCTGCACGGGCATGAAGCGCAGCTGGATTTATAACATGTAAATTAAAGCATGTTGTAAATCTAGCAGAACCATGAACTTTCTTCACAGGTATCTTGAATAACTTTGATAGCGACGTGGACCGTTAAACTAACAAATATGACACTCGTTTAGTAGAACGAGAGCCGAACGTTCCTTCCGTGGTCGGTCGGGCGGGCCGAGAGTGCCGGGTCTGCGAGTCGATAAGGGTCATTTCACGCTTATCTGTGGCTGACTTTGGTCCATCGTGAGACTGCGCTGTGTGATTGCGCCTTTTTGTCGGCTGTGGGAGACGGATATTAATATTTGAAAATATTTTTGGCTACATATTGTTCTTTTAGCGTTCAGCTTTCACTAGGACACGAAAAAAAAAAACATGCCCATGATTTCAAGAATGCCCGAGACAGCCAGCTGAATAAAACATTTCAAGGTTTTTACAAAAAGCAATTTTTGAAAAAAAGATCATCGAACGATTTTGATAAAAACTACATTTTTGGAATCAGCTCGCCGTCAGCTTTCGAATGGTATATTTCTTTTCTTTTGTGCATGAAATGACCTTCCGACGAACCGTGAGTACTGGTGTGGTATTTGGTTACATGGGCT